TCCTCCTCCTCCTCCTCTTCTTCTTCCTCCTCTTCCTCCTCCTCTTCCTCTTCCTCCTCCTCTTCCTCTTTCTCCTCCTCCTCCTCCTCTTCTTCTTCCTCCTCTTCCTCCTCCTCCTCCTCCTCCTCCGCTTCAAAAGATTGCCCATTTCTTTGTGCTTTTGTTAAGAACCTCTTTCCAATAACTTCCCAGTTCGATTTCCACCATCAGACGCCAAAGGAAATCTACAAATCTTCATGTCTTAATTACTTGCTTTCATTCCAAGTGCTTGCGATAATTTGTGTGAGCGTTTTTTAAAAGACAAACCCCGAAGTTATTAACCCCTGGGTGTTGTGTGAAAACTTGTCACAAATTACCTTTTTAATAACCCAGTCTTCGGCAGCAGTGAAGTTAAAAATGACGACGTTTGTCAAGATGATGATGGTGATGTTGTTGTGGATGGAGATACTCGGGGGCTCTCGTGGCCTAGCGGTTTAGGTGTTGGCCTCTCATTCAAAGGTCCCATGTTCGAATCCGGATAACGACCGACACATTTTCTTCTCTAAACTTGTCTCCTTTCATCTCCTCTCCTGCTCTCTAGCAATGTTCTGTCGTCTGCTTTCGTCTCCTCTTTCTACCCCACCCCCTCACCACCTTTGCTCCCTCCTCTTGGCTCCTGACTCTTTCTGCAGCCTTTCTACTGCTACTCCTTGGCGCCTTCTTACTGCTGTCTTTCCGCCACACCCCTGATCTTCTGGAAGGAAAGATCTACACCTAGCCTTCTCGGACAAGAGAGAAAGATCTTGGAGGGCCCATGTGCAAGTTGCGCACGTTAGAGATCCCTTGGTGGTCTACAGTCGATAAGAATAATCTTCGGCCGCCACCCGGGCAAAATTCAATATTTCCTACCAACTGAAAAAATGTTTAATGTTTCCCGCTCGATCATATATAACCATATTATGCAGTTGCGAGCGTTGTAAAACACTTACCAATAAACAAAAAAACCCAACAAAAAACAAAAATTAAATAGAGATACTCAAGTCTCCACCAATTGTTTTCTTTTGTTGTTCTTGATCGTGCTTACGACAAAAACCAAATGCTGCTGCTGCTGCGGTTGTTGTTGTTGTTGCTGCTACTACTGTTGTTGCTGTTGCTGCTGCTGCTGCTGTTGCTG